GACATAGGGATGGGGGGCTTGCAAGAACAAAAAGAATTCTCAGCTAAACTGAGCTAATCTGCCCTTAAAGCCCAGTCCTGCCAGAGCTGAGTGGCTCATTTAGCAGGTACATTCCCCACCTAAACCTTCTGCTTCAGCCTCTCCTCACTCTGTCTCTGTGTGTGTGTGTGTGATTTGGGTGAAAATTTACAGAGCAAATTCACTTTCCATACAGCAGTTCACATATACTTTGTCTCATGACATTGACCACAGTTTACCACAATGCAACAGCTCCCCTCCCACTGCCTCCCCATAGTTACCTCTTCCCTGTGTCCATCCCTCCATGCACTCCTGCCCCCTGAGCTGTCTCCCTGTGCATAAGCAGCCCTTCTTTCTCCCATGATTGTTCTCTCCAAGGAGTGTATCTACTTGAGGTAAATGTCCAACTCATATGCCTGTCTTTTGTTTGGCTGGAAACCACAGGTGTGGGTTCAATTCCAGACCTGAAGAGCAGCTAGGGACCATAGTCCCAGTGGTTCCACCAGGCTCTATTGGACTCCTCACTTTGTCTTGATTCAGAAACATAAAGAGATTCAAGAACAGAGCCAGCCTTATTATAGGTGAGGTAGATCACTGATATGTGGTAGGGCTTGAGGGGCTCACTATGGTCTTACTTTCAGATGTCAATATATCTGGAGTGCTGATTTACACATGGAGTCCTTGGTGGTGCAAATGGTTAACATGCTTGGCTGCTAACTGAAATGGTAGAGGATCAAGTTACCACCAGAGGTACCTCAGAAGAAAGGCCTGGTGATCCACTTGTGAAAAATCAGCCATAGAAACCCCTATGGAGCACAGTTCTACTCTGAAACACATGGAGTTGCTACAAGTTGGAACTGACTCCACAGCATCCAGTGTCTGTTTATACTTTGCATTAAGATTGTTGTGATTTAGAAAATACTAGATTCCTTTCTTCCCTTCTTTCTTCAAACCTCTAAATTTCTATTCTCCAACTTCACCATCAGCTGATGACCTCACTTTATTGAGAAAACAGAAGTGAACAATCCTCCTTTCACAAAATTCAGCAAGCTAGTTTCATCTGTATCCAAACTCTGCTCTCTCCTTTATTACAATGGATGAGTTGTCCCTACTTCTCTCTGAGGCCATCTCCTTACCTACTGAAGGGCTCTGCTCTTGCAATGATGGTCCAATTTTAGTTTTGCTATCAGCTTAAGACCATAGATGTTATGTTCCAAAATGAGGCACAAGGCCACTATTCAAGACTTACAAAAAAAAAAAAACTCACTTCCCTTGAGTAGATTCTAACTCATAGTGACCCCCATTAAATTTCCAAGGCTGTCCGTCCTTACGGAAGTAGATTGTCTCATCTTCCTCCCACAGAGCAGCTGGTGAATTTGAACCACTGACCTTCCGGTTAGCAGACAAGTAAGTAGCTTACACACTATGCCACCAGAGCTCCTTCAAGACTTACAAAGAAGAGGTCAAAAGTGATTTTTGTGACTCTTATCCACTCACCTACCTTAGTAGTAGAAAAGGATCAGAAGTTGAAATTGAATAGAATTTTTTGTAAAAAATTGTTGGTGTTTTATGAGCTCCTTCCTCCACAAGGAACTCTGGTGCAGCATTGGTTAAAGCATTAAGCTGCTAACCAGAATGCTGGCAGTTCAAACCCACCAGCGGCTCCATGGGAGAAAGATAAGGCAGTCTGCTTCCGCAAAGATTTACAACTTGGAAACTCAATGAGGCAGTTCTCTGTCCTATAGGGTCACTGTGAGTCAGCATCAACTCAATTTTATTGTTTTCCTCTAAAACCACCAAGTAGAGGGAAATGGGGGGGGGGGGCAGAAATCTAAAACTCTCCTCAGAGTTGAAGTGGCTTCAACAAGATCACTGAGTTACACAGTGGCCTAATATCAGACTCACACCTTTCAAAACGAAGGGTGAGAGGCTGCCAAAAGTGACCTGTGCAGCAGAGCAGAGGTTGCTATTTAGGAAGTCACTGCACTCCTGACAATAGGTCAAAGGTGTCATGGGTACATGCTTTCAGCGGGCCAGAGATAGGCTCCACATGTAGAAAATTAATTGGATTGTACTTTAGAGAGCCACTTAGAGGGGCAAAGGTATCTCAGCAGAATTAAGTAGTAGGAGTTACATCAGGTGCTTGGGAGCCAAAGACAATCATAAGGAACCCGATGGAAAATAAATCATCGGGTGAGAAATCCCCAGCAATAGATTTCTCTGAAGATCACTTAAAAGCATTAGCTTTAAACATGTGTCAAGTATAGCGAATGCTCTACACTAAAATAGATTATCATAAAATTAATAGTTAAGAACTTTCTTCTCTCTCCATTACCTCTCCTTACTCCTTCCTACTCTGACAGTGAAGAGTGACAAGATGTGGGGAAGAAAAACAAAGGAGGAAAATGGGAAAGAGACCCCATTCTCCATTCTCATTGTAGCAATCAGCCTGCGGCAGGCCTAAGCTAGAGAAGAGGAGACCTTAAATGAAGGATGGAGTTTTGATCGTTATACCAGACTGGGCACACATTAATTACTGACCCAGACTGTCTTTATAACCAGGAGACTTTTTATTATCTGAGAATATCCAGGGCAGAGGAAGAACTACACCCAAAGAAGAGATTTAAATGGACAGTGAAAAAAGAAAAATCAGTTGCTTTATAATTTACCCTATAAATCCTCCTTATGTAATGTAATGGTTACAGGTATCTTGAATTTAACCTCCCCAAACAGGATTATTACTTATTTTTGTATTTCTTCCCCCTTCCTTCTCCCTGCCACTCTGCTTTCCCCCTCAAACTTCCCCTACTTCAGTGAACAGGACCATAAGCTGCCCAGTGCTCTGGGTAAAAATCAAGGACCCTATAAGTTTATGTGTATGATCTGAATTCCCAGGTGTATAGTAGAGCTGACAAGGGGCAAGGTTGTAGTCACTGCTTGGTCACAGCCAGCTACCAAGAGGGACCTAGTAGTTGAACTTGTGGGCTTGGGACCATAGTCGCAGAGGACATCAAGCTCAACTGGCATAACATAATACACAAAACATTGTTCCACCTCCTACTTTGGCAAGTAGCGACTGGGGTCTTAAAAGCTTGCAAGCTGCCATCTAGATGCACTCATGGGTCTCTCCTCATCCAGAGCAAAGAAGAATGAAGAAAACCAAAAAAATCATGGAAACAATTAGTCCTAGTGACTGGTACACCATCCGATTGTCAGCCTATATGACTATGAGACCAGAAGAACTAGATGGTGCCCGGCTACCGATGTCAACCCCTTGGAAGGGGATCTATGTAGGAGATCCTGGATTGAGAGGGAGAACAATGTGGAACAAAACTCAAAATCATTTGGACAAAAAAAAAGGGGTGGAGACCAGGTTTGCTGGTGCAATAGAGCCTGGTAGAACCACTGAGACTATGGCCCCTAGCTGCCCTTCAGGGCTGGAATTGAAACCACACCTATGGCTTCCAGCCAACAATAGACAGGTATATGAGTTAAACATTTCCCGGAGGTAGGTACACTCCTTGGAGAGAACAATCATGGTAGAAAGAAGGGCTGCTTATACACAGGGAGACAGCTCAGGGGGCAGGAGTGCATGGAGGGATGGACACTGGGAAGAGGTAACTATAGGGAGGAAGTGGGAGGGGAGCTGTTGCATTGCGGTAAATTGCGGTCAATGTCATGAGACAAAGTGTGTGTGAACTGCTGTACGGAAAGTGAATTTGCTCTGTAAATTTTCACCCAAATCACAATGAAAAAAAATAAAAATCGAAGACCCGTCTTTGATTTCTTGCTTTCACTCACTTTACATGTCTAATACATAACAAACTCTGTCAGCTTGTTCACTTCTCAGCTACTCACCACCACCACTCAGGTTTAAGCCATTATGATCTTACCTGGCCTACAGCACTAACCTCCTAACTGGTCTCCCTGCTCCCATACTCCATGCAGCAGCCATATGCTTCTTTTTTAAATGTTAGTGAGATCATATTTTCACTCTGCTCAAAATGCTTGAATGGCATTCCCTCATACTTTGGATTTTATTATAAATCCTTATTATGGCCTCTAACCCCTGTCTCCTTTCCAACCTTATCTCCTGCCTAAGGCTTTTGGTTGTGGTAATCCGTTTGCCTGGAACATTCCCCTGCAGATCTCTTCATGTCTCACTCCTCATTTCATTCAGATGATATCTCTTCAAAAAAGCCTTTCCTGACTTCTCTATTTTAAATCGTTCCCCTTTAGCTATCCCTTATCTGTTTATCTGTTTTATTTTCTTCACTCCACTTATTAATGAACATGATGTTTCGTATTTATTTGTTTATACACTGTCTGTTTCTCCCATCAAAATGTGAGTTCCATGAGATCAGGGATTCATTTATTTTGTCTGTAGCCCCTCAATACTGCTGGCTGCCAGTAGGCACTTGTTAAAAGTTTGTGAGAGAAAGAAAGCACACAGGATGACCCTAAAACATGATATTAAAAGAAGTTAAAACACAAAATAAAGTTTCAATAAACTTTTTGTTAGTGAGTAAAAAAAATAGCTCCCTCATCCTGTAGGGATAGGAGTGAGAAAATGAATGGACAGTGAGAAAATGAATGGACAGTCAGAAAAGAACAAAGATGCAAAGATATACTTGGAAAACATGCCATGCGTGTATTGATTTCTGGCTGAGAGGTAAGGAAGGTGGAGGGATGGTTGTGATTTCTCCTCTAATTCTACTCCTAAAAGAGGCTAAACTCCAGAGTGTTTGGACACAGAACGTGGAAATATAACTGAAAGGGAGAAACAATACCTAGACCTGTCTACAGTAGGCTGGACCAGTCAAATGGCCATCAAGTTTCACTGTAGTTACCTTAGGATCAGAAATCTGCACTCTGGAAATATCTTATTTCTATACATTTTACATTTTTTATTTTGTGGCTTTTATTATACTTCTTAAATTTTACTACTTCAGTATATAGTCCTCTGGAAAAATTTTGATTGCTCATGACTGAATTAAGGGGAACAAAATGTTGGGCCTCAGTTGAATGTGATAAGTGACAAAGACCACCCCCACTGCTGTAAGTGGAATGGTTCCCTACATCACAGAAGAAGGGCAAAACATCAGGAGAGAGTCAGCTAGTGAAATCTTAAATGGTATAGTCCATCCACCAAAGGCACCTCCATTTGTGTAGCTCCAACTAGCTGAGGGGCAACTCTTTCCCTTCCCTCTGAACAATGGAAACCTGCCTCTTGGTCGCTCTCTATATCTCCCCATCCCTCTCTCTCTCTCTTCATCTTTCTCTCTCTCTTTTCCCTCCTACTGCCTCCTCTCTTCTCAGAAGCCTGTCATACAGAGAAATTTCCCAGTTGCTCAGATTTTGGTAACAGCAATTTCTGTCCTGTGTAATATAAAATGGGACCAACACAATTTTTACTCACCACTTTCTGGTCCTCATCCCTGTCTACATCCTGGCTGAGGTTCAAGGAAGAAAAAAGCCTTTCACAGTCACCCTCTTTGGGTCTTGCATTCTTTGCCTCCTGATAACATAGAGGTTTCTTTTCCAGAAAGGATGCCTTTTTGTTACTTTAGAGAAGAACCAGAAAGGAAAAAGTTACCTTAAATATTTATTAACTCAATTTTAACATTTAGTGATTTTCTATAAATTTTAAGTTGTTGAATTCTTTATGAATTTATACATTTTTATGAAAAGAAAACCCAAGTAAATATCATTACCTTGCTCAAGTAATGTTTTCACCTTAAATTTCTTTCCTGCTTAATCAAACAGCTGAGTCCCTCCTAGTAATGACCCCTCACAGAGTTGTCCATTATGCCTTCCATGAGAAGGTCTCACTCTGTCAAAGATAAACATGTCTTTGCCACCCCTGCTGCCATAACTGAGATGCTCCCCCAATTCACAGAAGAGAATCAAATCCTCCTCCTCCTTCCAGAGGGAGTTCACAAACTTAAGCCTTAAGTCTAAACTCCAACGATGCAATATTCTCTTTTATATCTTGGCTCACTTTGCTGTTGTTGTTGTTAGGTGCCAAGTCAGCTCCGACTCACAGTAACCCTATGTACAACAGAACAAAACACTGCCCGGTCTTGCATCAGCCAACAAAGCTACCCAAAGTGGGGACTACCAGAGCCCACTGTTGCAGTCACTGTGTCAGTCCATCTTGTTGAGGGCCTTCCCATTTTCCAATGACCCTTCACTTTATCAAGCATGATATCGTGATCCAGGAAATGGTCCCTTCTGACATGACAAAAGTAGTGAGACAAAGTCTGCCCATTCTCACTTCCAAGGAGCATTCTGGCGGCAATTTTTCCAGAACAGATTTGTTAGTTCTTCTGGCAGTCAGTCCATGATACTTTCAGTATTCTTCACCAACACCACAACTCAAAAGCATCAACTCTTCTTCTGTCTTCCTTGTTCACTGTCCAGCTTTCACATGAACGTGAAGCGATTAAAAATACCATGGCTTGTGTGAGGCAAACCTTAGTTTTCAAAGAGACTTTCCCTTTAGCCCCTTGAAAGAGGGCTTTTGCACCAGATTTGTCCACTGCAATACATCGTCTGATTTTTTGACTGCTGCTTACATTGGTGTTGATTGTGGATCCAAGCAATATGAAATCTTTGACAACTTCAATCTTTTCTCCATTTATCGTGATACTGCTTATTGGTCCAGTTGTGAGGATTTTCATTTTCTTTATGTTGAGATGTAATCCATACTGCAGACTTTAATTTTTATTAGTCTTTAATTTTCATCAATAAGTGCTTCAAGTCATCTTCACTTTCAGCAAGCAAGGTTGTATCATCTGCACATTGCAGGTTGTTCATGAGTCTTCCTCCAATCCTGATGCCATGTTTTTCTTCACATAGTCCTGCTTCTCGGATTATTTGCTCAGCATAAAGATTGAATAAGTATGGTGAAAGGATACAACTCTGATCACTCCCTTCCTGATTTTATACCATGCAGTATCCTCTTGTTCTGTTTGAACAACAACCTCCTGATCTATGTACAAGGCCTTCATGGGTTCAGTTAAGTATTATGGAGTTCCCATTTTTCTCAATGTTATCCATAATTTGTTATGATCCACATAGTTGAACGCCTTTGCATAGTCAATAAAATACAAGTAAACATCTTTCTGGTATTCTTTGCTTTCAGTCAAGATTCATCTGACATCAGCGGTGATATCCCTTATTCCATATCCTCTTCTGAATCCAGCTTGCATGTCTGGAAGTTCACTGTCAATGTGCTGTTGCAACTGTTTTTTAATTATCTTCCAAAAATTTTACTTGCATATGATATTAATGATATTGTTTGATAAGTTCCACATGCTGTGGAATTACCTTTCTTTGGAATAGGTACAAATATGGATCTCTTCCAGTCAGTTGGCCAGGTAGCTGTCTTCCAGATTTCTTGGCATAGATGAGTAACTAACTCCAGTGCAGCATCCATTTCTTGAAACGTCTCAGTGGGTATCCCATCAATTCCTGGAGGCTTGTTTTTCGCCAATTCCTTCAATCCAGCTTTGACTTCTTCTTTTAGTACCATCGGTTCTTGACCATATGCCACCTCCTGAAATGGATGAACATCGACCAATTCTTTTTGTTACAATGACTGTGTAGTTTTTCCATCTTTTGATGTTTCCTGCATCATTCAATATTTTCCCCATAGAATCTTTCAATATTGCAACTTGAGGCTTGATTTTTTTTTTTCAGTTCTTTCAGCTTGAGAAATGTCGAGTGTGTTCTTCCCTTTTGGTTTTCTAACTACAGGTCTTTGCACATTTCATTATCATAATTGATATTGTCTTCTCAAGCTGCTCTTTGCAATCTTCTGTTCGTTCAGCTCTTTTATCTTGTCATTTCTTCCATTTGCTTTAGCTACTCTCCACTCAAGGGCAAGTTTCAGGGTTTCTTCTGACATTCATTTTGGTCTTTTTCTTTCTTCCCTGTCTTTTTAATGACCTTTTGCTTTCTTCATGGATGATGTTCTTGATGTCTCACTTTGTTAGAAGAGGTATTTGAAGACCAACTCCTCCTTTTGGGTGATCAATGCAGGAGATCCTGGATAGAGTGGGAAAACAATGTGGAACAAAACTCAAAATTAAAAAAAAAAAAAGACCAGGTTTGTGGGTCTGATAGAGCCTGATGAGACCCCTGAGACTATAGCCCTCAGTTACCCTTCAAGCCCTCAGTTACCCTTCAGGTCTGGAATTGAACTCACTCTTGTGGCTTCTAGCCAAACAACAGATAGGGAAATGGGGTGAACATTTACATCAGGAAGATACACTCTTTGGAGTTATTAATCATGAATTATGGGAGAACAGAAGGGCACTGTTTGCACAGGGAGACAGCTTGAGGGGGGCAAAGTGCATGGGAGGGAAGGACATAGGAAAGAGGTAACTATGGGGAGAAAGTGGGAAGAGAGGTGTTACGTTGTGGGGAATTACAGTCAATGTCATGAAACAAAATGTGTATGAACTGCTATATGGAAAATGGATTTGCTTTGTAAGCTTTCACTCAAATCAAAATAAAAATTTAAAAAGAAAAAAACAAGTTATCATAACTTTTCCCTCTGTTAGTTCTGTGGCAAGGAGCAAATAAACCCTCCTTTTACAGCCCCTTGTAGAAATGAAACAGGATTGAAAGTTGATTATCCTAAAACCTTCCTCAAATAGGTTTGTCAGGGATTGCAAAAAACTCACTCCTTTGGGACCTCATATACAAGAGTAATTCTGAATCATTCCATTTTTGAAGGTCTTCAGCTGCCAAGTGAGTGAGTGTCAGTACCTTTTATGTCTCCCTCAATTTCAGCTCTATTGAAGAAACAAAGCACCAAATTGTTAACCTACACCTCAAGGACGCTGAGAACTCCAGCCTGATCAGCTCCATCTCTACCAGTACACTAAGATCCTCACCAGGCAATCAGTTGTTCTCTCTATTAGTTACATCAGCGTCAAGCATCTCTAAAAGCCCTCTAGCTTCTGCCACACTATAGTTATTAATCAAATTCTGAGCCTATCCAGGAAAAGGAAAGGAAAACTACTGTAGTGCATTTATTTATTTATTAAAGAACAGAGGATTGTAGGCCAACCACCCAAACAAAATGGATAACCTCATTTTTTTCCCATTTGCTAGGTTCTTTATTATTATCAACAGCTTTATTGAAGTATAATTTACAAGCTATAAAATTCACCCATTTTAAGCATTCAAGTCAATGACTTTTAGTATATATACAGAGTTGTGCAGCCATCACCACAATCTAACGTTAGAACATTTCTATCATCCCAAAAACCTCAAGCTCATTTACAGTCACTCTTTATTCCCACTCCTAACTCTAAGCAATCACTAATCTACTTTCTGGATATTTTATGTAAATAGAATCATACAATTTGTGGTGTTTCATGAAGATAATGATTTTGAAGTTCATCCATTTTATAGCATGTGTCCATATTTGTTCCTTTTTTATTGCTGTATATTTTTCCATATGGATATACTACATTTTGTTTATCCAGTCACCAGTTTAATAATTATACTAAATATACATTTGGATTTGTTTGTTTGTTACTTTTTGGCTTTTTTGAATAATGCTGCTATGAACATTCATGTACAAGTTTTTGTGTGGATGCATATTTTCATTGCTCCCAGGTAGAAACCTAGTGTGGAATTGTTGGGTCATGTGCTACTCTATATTTAACAATTTGAGAAACTGATAAACTGTTTCCTAAAAGGGCTGCACCATTTTACATTCCCACCAACAATGTATAAGGAATTTCATTCTTTTTTAATCCAATAGTTAATAAGATACCTAACTATATGAAGAAATCACTTATTTTTAACTTCTTAATTAGTTACTTGAGATAATGCCCCCTGTTACATGCATAATAGTATGTACTATTTCTCTCCTTATAACATCTCTTCATTCTGCATTACAACATTTGTGGTAGTTATGTTTGTGTGTCAACTTGGCTGGGCCTGGTTGAGTGGCTGGACAGCTGGTGGTAGTTATTCCCCATGATGAGAATGGCAATCAACTCCATGGTGGGATCTACCACAGGCAGCTGAGTAGCTGCCTTAGGGAATGTGGTCTGCTTCCTGTATATAAGCAGAAGCCTTGGGGAATGGTCTCTAGTATATGGCACGCTTGGACCCTGCATGTAGTCATGTCGTTGTTCAGCAGCCTGCTTTGCTCTGCCCACCTTGGGACTTAACAATGGACTTAAATTAATGGCCTGCCATGTGATTTGGTAACATCTGGACTGTGCCTTTTTACTTGTCAACATTGGGCTTCTCAGCCTCAGCAGCGAGCAGCTGAGTGAAGAAACACCTCTAGCTCCGTGGGCCAGGAGCAAGAGGCAGAGCTGGACCCCAAGGTTGAGGGGCTTTCACCCAGCCCCTAGGGCTTGGCACTTTGAACTTGGACTAAAAGCCTCCAAATTGTAAGAATAAACTCCTGTTTGTTTAAGCCATCCCATTTATGGTATATTCTTGTCAGAGCGGTGCTAGGTAACCAGAACAACATTGTAATAGGAACTAGTCAAAAACTCCCATTTTTACTGCTTCAATACAATTTTAAATTTTCTGTCTTTTAACTTTTTTTTTTTTTTTTTAATTAGGATTTGGGTGAAGATTTACAGAGTAAATTCACTTTTCATACAGCAGTTCACATATACTTTGTCTCATGTCATTGACCAAAATTTACAATGCAGCAGCTCCCCTCCCACTTCCTCCCCATAGTTACCTCCTCCCAGTGTCCATCCCTTCATACTCTTCTGCACCCTGAGCTATCTCCCTGTGCATAAGCAGCCCTTCCTTCTCCCATGATTGTTCGCTCCAGGGCGTGTGTCTACTTGAGGTAAATGTTTAACTCACATGCCTGTACTTTGTTTGGCTGGAAACCACAGTTGTGGGTTCAATTCCAGACCTGAAGGGCAGCTAGGGGCCATAGTCTCAGTGGTTTCACCAGGCTCTATTGGACCAGCAAACCTGGTCCCCACCTTCTTTTTTTTTTTTTTTTGCCTCCAAATGATTTTGAGTTTTGTTCCACCTTGTTCTCCCTCTCTATGCAGGATCTCATACATCCCTTCCAAGTGGATGGCAGTGGTAGCTGGGCACCATCTAGTTCTTCTGGTCTCATAGTTGTATAGGTTGCAGATCAGATGGTGTACCAGTCGCTAGGACTCATTGTTTCCATTAATTTTGGTTTTCTTCTTTCTTCTTGACGAGGAGAGACCTGTTGTTGCATCTAGATGGCAGCTTCCTAGCTTTTAAGGTCCCAGTCGCTACTCGCCAAAGTAGTAGGTGGAACAATGTTTTGTATAGTATGTTATGCCAATTGAGCTTGATGTCCCCTGCGACTATGGTCCCAAGCCCGCAGGATCAACTACTCGGTCCCTCTGGGTAGCTGGCTGTGACCAAGCAATGACCATAACCTTGCCCCTTGTCAGCTCTACTATACACCTGGGAATTCTGATCATTCACATGAACTTATAGGCCCATTGTCTGCCAACCCTATATATGATCTTGGATACAATCTCCATTTAGACATACCTAATTGTTTAGCTTGTTCACCTATCTATCCGTCCCTATACCCATGTTTGCTTTCACTGACAACTCAGTACTGTATATGCAAAAGGGTTCATATTTGTTGTCTGTACTGCCCATGTAACTCTCTATGTCTTTCTCATCCTCAATGCTGCCATATTGGTCACTCACATTTGGTATACTGCCCTTCTCTTCACCCAAATCAATATTTATCTCTATCTATCTAACTGCATTCCCTCCCCTCCCCTCCCACCCCTGGTAACCAACAAAGAAAATGTCCTCCAATATATAAACCTTTCCTTAACTTTTACAATAACGGACTAATACAATATTTGTCCTTTTGTGACTGACTTATTTCACTCAGCATAATGTCCTCCCAGTTCATCCACGTTATGCGGTGTTTTGCAGATTCTACATTATTCTTTAGTGTTGCATAGTATTCCATTGTGTGAATGTACCAAAGTTTGGTTATCCATTCCTCAGTTGTTGGACATCTAGGTTGTTTCCAAGTTTTGGCTCTTGTAAATAGTGCTGCGATGAACATCGGCGTGCATATATCTGTTCTTGTTATGGCTCTCACTTCTTTAGGGTATATACCTAGTAATGGGATGGCTGGGTCAAATGGTATTTGTATTTCCAACTTTTGAAGGAATCGCCATACTGCTTTCCACAATGGTTGTACCATTTTACAGTCCCACCAGCAGTGTATGAGAGTCCCAATCTCTCCACAACCTCGCCAGCATTTGTTATTTTCTGTCTTGTTGAACTTTGATACTAGTGCTGGAGCAAGATGGTATCTCATTGTTGTTTTGATTTGCATCTCTCTAATAGCTAATGATCATGAGCATTTCTTCATATGTGTCTTTTAACTTTGATACACGTTGTTAGTTTTTATTCTATTTCTACATTTGTTATTTCTAAACGTGTAGTTGTTAGTTCTTTTAAGCCAGAAAAGGCTGAAGAAGGTTGTCACCTCACCCAGACACAGTGGTGGGAGTTACCTGATAACATGCCACAACAGAGCTTGTGATACGCCTGGGCACTGACTCCTACAACTTGATGGCAAGGAGTGGCAACACAACCGAGAATATTAAATTAAAGAAGAGAAAAGGTATGAAATAATAGGCTTACTTGTAAATAACTGCTTTTTCTTCTTACAACTTGATGCCAAGGAGTGGCAACACAACCGAGAATATTAAATTAAAGAAGAGGAAAGGTATGAAATAACAGGCTTACTTGTAAATAACTGCTTTTTCTTCTTTCTGAGGTTCCTGAAGATGAAGTGCTCTTGCTGATGGTTTCAAATCAAAACTACTAATGTTAACATTCACTTTCACTTTTAACCTTTAACAAGATAACATGTGTGAGGATGTTTGGAAAATAATACTAGCTTACATTTATGCAGAAATTGTTATTACACACTGATTGCTATGTACATTGTCCAAAATACCATTACTTCAAACTGTTTTGCAATCTTGAGTAAGAGTCACTGTTTAAGAATTGCTGAAATCATGATGGAGACTGACTTGCTATTTACTGAGAACCAAGAAACTTAAAACCAGCTAGGCGAAGTTTTAATCACTCTTTCCACTAGGAGATTAATCTAAAAAGAAATAGAGCTTGTGTGATTTACAATCAACCATAGTAGATGTTTGTCCCTTGTGGCTGTCCAAGCTTGTTTAAACACCCCTTCCCCATTCTGGTACTTCCCCAAACTATGCTTTCCCCAGAGAGAATCCAAACTCTCCATTTTCCAGCCTCCTATGCCATAAGGTGCCTTAGATCTACCAATCTTGCATCCACATAAGACTTGACTGTAAGAGTGATATGGCCCTGTGTAGAATATCCATTTTCCTGACACAGATTATAGCAGAGTTGGTATGGTTCTGAAGCCAGCAGCTGCCTGATTCTACACAAGCAAAGAAACAACACTTCCCTCAGCCAGCTAATTCTACACTGTGATTTTGGGAGTCATTCCTGAAAGCTCAGCCTGTTTCTTAAGAGCTCTTCATGAAGTTATGAGCAATCTAAATCCTTAATAAATCAGTCTTTATATACGGTGAATTAAATTGTCTGAAACAAAGAACCATGGGTATTATCCTAACATATTCAGTACACCCAGTATGCAAATGGCCACACAAAGAATTGATGCAAAAAAAATCAACTTGATCCTGATCAAATCAGAATGTGTTTTCCTGGAGAATGTGGATTTGAAATACGTTTTGCATAAAAGAAAATAAGTGGGTATGTTAGATAGCTAGGTTAGTGTGTAAAGTATTATTGGTATAATTAATGAGAAGACAAAAGGGTTTCCTGTGTTAATGTATCTGAAAAAGACTAATCCAGTGCCTCATTAGCCTGTCGAAACTTATTTTAGGCAGGGCTCTCCCAGGTTAGATTCTTGAGAAAGAAGATAAATAGTAAGGATATCCAAGGATAATGAAAAGTTTTGGGGAGAAGGGTATTATCTAATAAGACTTTCTCAACTATCTCCAGTCCTTTTGTTCACAGCAAACTAAAAGTGTGGATGGTCATAACCTTAGTCAACAAATCCAATGGCTTCTTCTCAGTTCCCTATATTTCAAAGCATTTGACATATCCCTGATTCTTCTTGTCACTCTTTCCTCCCCTAACATCTGTGGCAAATCTGTTTATCTTATTTCACTGATTGCTTGTTCTGTCTCCTTCACATCCTCAACTTGATCTATTTAATAAATTCTTATGCTTCCAAAGTGAGTAACTTTAAAATTTACTTCTCCAGGCCTGAGTCGTCTTCTTCCTTGAGCTGTAGTCTCACTTTCCTAAACTCCTGTGATCTAGGAGCCCTAGTGGTATAGTGGTTAAAGAGCTCAGCTGCTAACTGAAAGGTCAGCAGTCCGAAACCAAACCCTATGGGGCAGTTCTATTCTGTCCTATAGGGTTGCTTTAAGTCAGAATTGACTCAATGGCAGTAGTGATACTTTACCTGAAAGGATTGCCAGTATATCAGACTCATAAACAAAATTGTACTCATCAATCGACTTTCTGAACTTGCTTCTCTTGTGTTCCCTCTTCTGCTAATGTCAATTCCACCCTCTCAGTGACTTAGATTTAAACATCAGAGTCGTCTTTGACTTCCTCTCTCGCTGCTTACTATATCTCATTACTTCATTAGTTCATGAAACACTGACTTTGTGTCACCCAACCACTATCATCAAGGAATTTTCAGTACATATAAAAAGATATATGTGAACAAAAAATATAATAAATATGTTGTTGTGTGCTGTCAAGTCAATTCCAACTCATAACAACCCATAGGACAGAGTTGAACTGTCCCATATAATTTCCTGGGCTGTAATAACCTAAGGCATTTGACTGCTAACCAGAAGGCTGGCAGTTCAAACCCACCAGGCACTCCTCAGAAGGAAGGTTGGACAATCTACTTTTGTAGTGATACCACCTCAGAAACCCAAGGAGGGGTGACTATCAGTCGAATCTCACTCAACAGCAGTGAGTTTGGTTTTGGTTAATCTTTACAAGACCAGTTTTTTTTTTTTTTTTATGGAGCCACTGGTGGGTTTGAAATATTTGAAGTGTTAATGGTGGAGAATTTCTCGATAATCATGAAAGACATTGCCACAAATCCAAGAATTTCATAGAACCCTAACTAGGTTGAATACAGCAAAACGCAAGGCACTGCTGTCAAGTTGTGACCTCTCTTTGGGTTTCCAAGGCAGTATCACTATGGAGGTAGATTGCCCAACCTTCCTTCTGAGGTGTGACTGGTGGGTTTGAACCTCCAGCCTTCTGGTTAGCAGTCAGATGCCTTAGGCACTACACCACCAGAGCTCCTACTAGGTTGAATAGAAGGAAAAAGAAAAAGAAAGAAAGCTATACACATCATAGCCTAACTAATTCAAACCAAAGAGAAAGAGAAAAGCTTGAAAGTAGCCCCCCCAAAAAAGAAACATCACATACAGAGAAGCAAAGATAAAAATTACAGTAGATATCTCATTTTAAAATAATTTTTTAAAATATCATAACTATGTCACAATTTATATCACTACCTCAAGAAGAAATTTTTAAACTCTGAGAGGTTCTATAATCTCTATTATATTTACCATTACCTGCTCCTTTTACAAAATTCACTTTCTATGTATCTTGTAGGCAGTTTAAGCCACTCATTTGGAGTTATAAATTGCCTTGAGTTAGAAATTCTTGGGAATCTGGAACGCAGTTTGGCCTTTTCAACCTCTTTAAATTCTTTCATTGTATATATTTTCCCTGCAGGAAGATTGGTAATCTAAATTAGCACCCTGAAATGCAATTCCAATTGTTCTTGGGCCATGAAATCAGATAATTAACAGGAATTAAATACCAGTCTCACACTGAAGAAGAGTTCTTTTTTCTTCATCCTTGTCATATTGTGCCTTTTTCAAAGGGTCATGGAATGGTGGGATGGTAACCTACAAGAGAAGCACCCTTTGATGGTTGGGCTGCAGGTCTGAGTAGTAAACTTTTTCAGTCTATCCTAAGCATCCATGTACGGCTCTTATGCCAGAAATGTCAAAAATATAGTATCTACAAACTAATAGCGAACTAAACATTATATTTATTTAACACATCACAAAAAGAGAGGAGTAAGTCCTTCTGAGACTCTTCCACATTTACAGACAAGCACTTGTAGTCCCTAAGTATTTGAATTATAAGCCAGTGGTTTTGCAACTTATTTATTTCAGGGCCCATTATCATGATGATGACTGTTATTGCTGTTATTATTGACTATAAAAAGCTTTTGTGTATGTGGGTTAGATTGATCAATATTTGCTAAATTGGAACTTAAAACTAAGAACATATTAAATCATTTATTCACTTTAAAATAATATTAATCCTATTACCTTCAACATAACTTTTAACCTAAAAAAGAAAACTATTTTCTGAAGCAAAAATTAGAAGTGACACTCTTTTTACAGCCTTTTCAGATAATTGTGCATATTCTTCTTTTATACTATCTATATCCAAACTCAACAAGTGGTAGTAGTGAAGATAAAATCAGATGAGGGGGAAAACACCCCTAACCATTAAGCCTCTATGCAAGCTAGCTGCTATAAATAATAAAATATTATGAAATGATTAACATTAAATATTCATATTTATTAATATAGAAAGAAGAAACCATCAACTGTTGAGAGAGAAAAAAAATTATAAAACCCAATGTATAATATCTAATTCCTATATAATAAAAATGTGTATATATGTATACATACAAAAAGAAGTCTAGGATATACTGAAATTGTAATCTATTAGTTAATTCTGGGTAATGGAATAATGAAAGTTTTTTAAAATTTATTTCCTGTATTTAAAAATCCCAGCACTCATCTGTCATTCTGTCATACTGTACTGTGCTGGCTTGTCTGTGGCTGTGATGCTGGAAGACAAGCCTCTGGTATTTCAAATACCAGCAGGGTCACCATGGTGGACAGGTTTCAGTGGGGCTTCCAGACAAAGAAAGACTAGGAAGAAGGACATGGCAGACTACTTTTGAAAAATTTGGCCACTGAAAACCTTGTGAATAGCAATGGAAAATGATATGGCACCAGAAGAGCCCCTTTGGTTGGAAGGCAGTCAAAATATGACTGGGAAAAGAGATGCTTCCTCAAAGTAGAGTCAACCTTAGTAATGCAGAAAGAGTAACCTTTTGAGACCTTCATTTACTATATGGCACAACTTGGAATGAGAAGAAACAGCTACAAACATACATTAACAATTGGAACATGAAATGTATGAAGTATGAATCTAGGAAAGTTGGAAATTGTAAGACGTGAAAGGGAATGCATAAAGATCAATATCCTAGGCATTAGTGAGCTGAAAAGGAGCTCTGGAGTTTAGTAGTTAAGGCATTTGACTGCTAACCAAAAGGTCAGTAGTTTGAACTCACCAGCTGCTCCATGGAAGAAAGATGAGACAGTCTGCATCTGTAAAGATTTACAGCCTTGGAAACCCAATGGGGGTCACTATGAGTTGGAATCAACTGGATGGCAGTGAGTTGGTTTTTTTAGAGTAAGCTGAAATGGACTGGTATTTGCTATTTTGAATCAGACAATCACGATCTACTATGCTAGGAATGACGAATTGAAGTGGAATGGCATCACAGTCAGCAACAAAAAGAACATTTTAAGCTCTCTCCTGAAGTACAATGCTGTCCATGATAGGATAATATCCATATGCCTTCAAGGAAGACCAGTTAATATGACTTTTATTCGAACTTACTCATCAACCACTAAAGCCAAAGATTGAGAAACTGAAGATTTTTACCAACTTCTGAAGTCTGAAATTGATCAAACATGCAATCAAGATGCATTGGTAATTACTGGTGATTGGAATGCAAAAGCTTTATTGGAAATAAAGAAAAAGGATCAATAGTTGGAAAATATGGCCTTGGTGATAGAAATGACCCTGGAGATTGCAAGATAGAATTTGGAAGACCAACAACTTACTCATTGCAAATACATTTTCTCAACAACATAAATGGCAACTATGCATGTGAACCTCACGATGGAATACACAGGAATCAAATCAACTACATCTGTGGAAAGAGGAAATGTAGGAGCTCAATATCATCAAACAGAACAAAGCGAGGGGCTAACTGTGGAACAGATCATTAATTCCTCATATGTAAGTTCAAGTTAAACTGAAGAAAATTACACAAATCCATGAGAGCCAAAATATGACTTGGATTATATGCCACCTGAATTTACAGACCATCTCAAGAATAGATTTGACTCATTGAACAATAATGATCAAAGACCAGATGAGTTGTGGGATGATATCAAGAACATATGATCTAGAACCAATGGTAATGAAGGAAGAAGTCAAAGCTACAATGAAAGAACTGGCGAAGAACAAGGCTCCGGGAATCGATGGCATACCGATTGAGATATTTCAACAAACAGATGCCCCATTGGAGGCACTCACTCAGTTATGCCAAGAGATTTGGA